TTGAGTAATAAGTATAAGTCATATTGAGTAATAAGTTAAGTATAAGTCATAAGTAGCACCTTAGAAGTCATAAGTAATTATCATAAGACGGCTTTATGCGTTTATTTAGAGGATTGGGAATTAGCTGGGAATTATTTGATGTAATAAAGGAGGCAGAAGGAAGTTCTTGGTGGAATTTGTTTTCATTCTTAGGGTTGAACATCCCGCCGTGCAGGCCGTCCTGCGACAGATGGATGGATTATACAATGCGCAATTAGCACCTTCTTGCATTCCTGTGCCGTTTGCTTCCCTAGTTCTTACTCGGGGCATTACTTAAAAAGCTTTAGTGCTTTTAAAGGAACCGAGAAAAATGAAAACAAACATATCATAAATAATACATATGCAATCTTGAAAGCAATGCCATTGGCGTAGACTGTTTTAACTTTAAAAGTGTGATACTATGAAGGTCGATGCGATTAGAGCTTACTAAGCTGTATCATTCCGAGCAGTCTGTCGTGCAGCACGACTGACATTGCCGTGCCAATGCCGTGCTATGGTCGCGCCGAACTCAATAGGCCTTTTGCAGCTAGAGGTCACGTGGTTAGATACGGCATAGCAACGCCATACTGGAGAGCAAGCTCTCCAGTAAACAAAAGAGATCAAAAGGTTACACACGCGTGCGTTTCAACAAAGATTAATCTATATTRCACTACTTAAAGCCATTCCATTACTAGTGTTTCAGTAAGACAAAGTAAAAAGCTCTTCGAAATCGAGTTCTAAGTCCAGAATCGCGACAGTTAAGAGCGGATTTCGTTGTTTTTCGTGCCGACTTTGGTGGCGCGACGTAAACAAGATGGCGGCGAATCAAGGTATGTGAGAAGTTCAATTGCTTATAAAATCAACTTCTTGACGTTTTTTTGACACGAAAAAACAGAGATAAACTCTTTATTAGATAAATTTTAGTTTAGGAAAGTAGCATGGGTTCAAAACACTGCAGAGATTCGATATTTTCACTCACAATCTGTTCTTACTATACAGCTGATCCAACGTCCGAAAGCTCTTCACAAGACTTAAGTTCCCTGCCTGACTTAACCTTTGCATTTGTCGAAAAGTATGCACAGGACAAGTCCGGATGCCAGAGCACCGCTAAAGCTTACAAGTTTTTTGCCGAGCCTGGATATTTACATGACATTAAAGGTAAATATATCATCGTGTATTTTTTGTTTTTCGTTGGTCTCTCGATTTCGTCTGTTTTCTTTTGCTTAGTAACAAATGAACAAGATTTTGCTGTGATAAGTGCCCGATGCTACCGATCAATGAAGAAAAGCGAGCCTCCACATATACTAGAGATAAAGATCAATCTGATTGACTGCTCAACATCTGGGAAGTGTTCTTGTGTAGCTGGTGTCGGTGGATACTGCCATCATGTAGTTGGACTTCTCTACTATCTAGCCCATTGCAAACAGCTTGGTCTAAAGTCAGTTCCTGATGATTTGACTTGCACTAGCATGCCTCAAAGATGGAGTATCCCAAGACAAAAAAAGATCGAACAGAAGGAGATTCAAGATGTACTAGTGAAAAAACCACGACTTGGGGCTAATTATAACAAATTTATAAAGAGCACCCTGTATTCTCCTGCAGAGGTTTATGCAACAATGACAAAAGAACATTTTGATAACTTTGAGACCAAACCATTGATAGCAAGTATCATTCCAAGTGCAGAGAACCTTGCAAGTATTCCATTTGTGCAGTGTAAATTTGGAAAAGTACCTAAGGGTTCTGTTCTCTCTTATCAACAAAAACTGTCTCAAGACTATGTTATTAATGATTTTAGCTGTACTAACTTCCCCAGACTACCACTGGATTCTGCTGAAAGTAGATTTGACAACATTTTTTCAAGTTGCCTCACACAACAACAACAAGCTTCATTAGATGCATTAACTGTTACCCAAGAGGCGTCACTTGACATCCAAGAGAGGACAGTCACTCAAAGTGCAAATAACTTATGGCATATGCTACGAAGTAAACGTATCACAGCTAGTAAGTTTGGGATTGTTGCAAAAAGATTGAGAGACTTTGAAAATCTTGTTAAACAGCTCAATCCATCTCGTCACGTGGTGACTGCACCTATGAGAAGGGGCATTGAACTAGAACCAAGAGCAGCTATGACCTATGCTAATATTGGAAAGAATAGTTCTGTTAATCTCTTCCCATCAGGATTAATCATCCATCCCAAATGTCCATGGCTGGGCTGCAGTCCTGATCGGTTGGTATATGACCTGGAAGCAGCACAGAATGGCTACAACCCTTTTGGATTGTTGGAGGTCAAAGTTGTGAAGGAGGGGGAGACTGACTTTGCAAATGTCCGATATCTTTCTAAAAATGTGGCTACAAATAAGTATATGTTGAAGAACACTGACATATACTATTATCAAGTACAGTGCCAGCTAGCTTTGACTGGTCTAGAATGGTGTGATTTTTTTAGTTACATAAGTGACACACTTTTTGTCTGTGACAGAATTAGTTTTGACAGAGATTTCTTTCAACAAGCAAAGAGTAAGGTTGACAGTTTTTATTTTCAGTATTTTTTGAAATAATTTTGCTAAGCAACAATTTTTATTGCTATTTCCATCTTGCTTACAAAAACGTTGTATTGATTTGCTTCAATGTAAATATTGTACATAAGCATGAATTTCAAAACACTTTAATTGTTGTTTATTAAATAAAAAATATTAAATATKAAAAAGATCTGAACATTGTTTTAGAATATCATTATAATAGATTCACAGTAAAGCCATGAAATAGTACTTAGCAAATTTACAATATAAAATAAATATGGATTTTCAAGCAGTTGCTTCTTGCTGTATTTAATACAGTTTCATGGGACTACTGTAATTAACCCTATCCTTATTTCTATTGACTCCTATTTGCATTAGCAATCAGAGGGCCTTGGAAATTGGTAAGAAGACATGCTACTGTGTATAATTGGTTAACTGATCCCAATGCATTAAGTGGCACATCAGAATCAAAAAAATKGTATTCCTTTATCCTTCGAATGGCCCTTTCAACGTGGATACGAACACTTGCAATCTCCTTAGTTTTTTGAACATCCCTTGATACAAATTGAGTTTGACTYTGTAAGAAAGGGGGAATGTTAAGCGAAGCTTTCTTTCCCCCTAAAAGATCCTCTATATCAAAACCTTTGTCTGCCATGACAGAATCTCCCTCCTCAATCAAATCTAAGATCCCACAACATCTTGTAATTTCCTTATCTGATATAGCCCCAGTATATAGCCCAGAGACAAAGGAAACTGCTCCATGGGGTGTGATCCCAACCAAACCTTTTAGGGTAGTATTGCTTTTATAAGAGGAATATAACTGTGACTGAAGTAATAGTGAGCTGGGGGTTTGAACAAAAATTTCTGTGCAATCTATARTAACTCTAGTTTTTGGGTAAAGCCTGCAGAAACATTCAGGCATATTAGCATTAACCTCCTCCCTTGAGGGCCAAATTACTTGACTTCCCAACATAAAATACAAAAAATTGCACCAGGTAGCTATCTTTCTGCTAACAGTGGATAAGTGAATTTGAAATCTGTGAGCGAGGTCTTGCTCAAATATACCTAGTCTAAGACGAACCAAGAACATAAACAGTTCGTCAATAACTTGCATATTTCGGGCCTTGGGGCGACTTTCCCTCTCCCCTGTRGCATAACAGTAAGTCATCCTCTCAGCGGTTGGCTTAATAATATCATAAAAAAACTTAATGTGTTGATATGAAATAAATCCAGTGTAGAATCTTATTGAATCATTATCACTAGAAAACCTCTCTAAACCAAACTTGCATATTGCAAGCTGTTCAGCAGCAGTTCTCTTAGCATAATCAAGCTGTTCAGCAGCAGTTCTCTTAGCATACTCAAGTTCTCTTTGTGCTTGTGCCTTGACTTCTTTCATTTCTTCTAAAATAGAGGCTGTTTCTTGCTTTCTTTTCTCTAACTCTTGTTCTTTCTGAAGAAGCTCCAATCTCAGAGATTCCAATTGTTCCTCCGTGGTTGGCTCAGGAGTAGCTTCACAATTTTCAGTGACAGTTCGTTCCATGTCACTGACACTTTCATGAGTTTGTGTTTCCCTGAAGCACATGATATTATTTCAACCGTTAAAACTATGGAACTTAGGGAATGAAGTAAAGTTGTCAACGACAATTGSCTCTTACGTGCTAAAATTTCGAATTAGTTTTCTTCTCTTTGCAGTCTGCGAAGACCAGTCAAACTGACTRGGAACAGATCCTCTTTTAAGTAGACGTCGTCCTGCATTGTCAGCAGGTAGGTAATCGTCCTCCACAAAATGTCTCGAGCAAACTCTTGTGCTGCTTGATATCTAATAAAACAAAAAATAACAGATTAGAATATATCAAAATGATCAAATGAGGCATAACGCAGTAGGGAAAACGTATATTTTGACAAAAAATTACCTTGAAAGCAGGTCCTTCGTCTCTCCGAATTTTAACCAGCCATAGTTTACGAGTTTCTTCGCCGTCTTTTCCACTCGGGATACGGTGGAATTTTAGCTCTTGATGATATCTGGAATCACCATTACACCGAGGGACACAACAGTGATAAGATGACTTCCTTTTTGTCTTTGAAGTGGCGGAACACTGGGTTTCATCTTCAGGTTGATTTTGAGCACTCGTTGGATCAGCTGTAYAGTAAAGGACCAGATTGTGAGTGAAAATATCGAATCTCTGCAGTGTTTTGAACCCATGTTACTTTCCTAAACTAAAATTTATCTAATAAAGAGTTTATCTCTGTTTTTTCGTGTCAAAAAAAACGTCAAGAAGTTGATTTTATAAGCAATTGAACTTCTCACATACCTTGATTCGCCGCCATCTTGTTTACGTCGCGCCACCAAAGTCGGCACGAAAAACAACGAAATCCGCTCTTAACTGTCGCGATTCTGGACTTAGAACTCGATTTCGAAGAGCTTTTTACTTTGTCTTACTGAAACACTAGTAATGGAATGGCTTTAAGTAGTGCAATATAGATTAATCTTTGTTGAAACGCACGCGTGTGTAACCTTTTGATCTCTTTTGTTTACTGGAGAGCTTGCTCTCCAGTATGGCGTTGCTATGCCGTATCTAACCACGTGACCTCTAGCTGCAAAAGGCCTATTGCGTCATGTCCTGAAAACTTCACTCTTTGGTTTTGTGAATGTGCTACGTAGCACGTTGGACATATTGCTGTTGAAAGATCAGTCATCATCTGTATAATTGATTATACGAATTCAAAAATATTTTCACWTTGATTTAATAGTACATTTAATGAATACACCCAATGAACTATAAACGTGGTGAAATGTTAAATCCACGTGCCATATATTTGTTTAGAGAACATCATTTTTATAGAGAGGAGCCGGAGGAATGATAATGTATCACGTSATTATCTAATTTTTATTTAGMCCCAGTAGACCCCTGTCTCCGAAGTCCCTGCATTTTAACGTGAATTTGGCATAACAAACAACCCACTCTGAAGAACGAATGCTCCCTTATGTCTTCTTTTCACATACAAAGACAGGCTGGTGGGCTGCCTTACAAATTCCAAAAGAAAAAGAATAAATTTGACGTGTATAATTCATAACAAAATTCGCAAAAACAGTTCATAAAAAACGAATTTTAAAATAGAACAATAAAAAAGAAAAACACCGGAGCTTTTAAGCTTGTGGTGGGAGGTTCGTCCGCACCCCCCTGAACCGACCCCCCCTTCCCCAGCCCAGCCTACGGGCCTGAAAGATRTAACTTGCATCTCGTTGAAATCACTAAATATTTTGCGCACTGCCGCTCAAAACTTCAAAAAAAACAATACTTACGAGATCCTATTTGAAGTGTCCCGTACAGGTTTTTYATCTCCTTCGATATTTGAATGTTGACGACACTTTGGCTCTTGTAGCTTCAAATGGAACCTTTGTGAGTGGGGTATTGACAAGACCTCAAAGACCTCCAATCTCTACCCAATTTTGCTCGGTGATTTGGGCATATGGACAAGTTTTTTTTCATATCCGAGGAAGCATCGAACATTCCTGCTCTTGCAAGAATAAGCTCGCACTCGGAAAGACCCCATCTAGAAAGATGGCAAGTACGCAGATGAACACTAACGTCTTCACCACAGTTACCAAGAACGACTTCAGATTTAGAACCTCTAAATTCTCCACATGAAACACCACCGAGACCATAAAGAGAACAGCTTTTAAACATTTTGTTGATACGAGAAAAACAACCTGTTCTGATGTTGTTTTTAAACTATCACTTTGGTATCACTTTGTAATCTACAACCTGTCATTCATCTGCAAAGCTTTTATTTTTGAAAATAATTTTATCTTAATTGAAAGTATACAAACACTTAAAATAACTACAAATTTGCACTAGTAGTTAAGCTTATCTTATGAATTCACAAAGACGAAAATGCCGGCACAATATTACATCGGGTCGGGTCGGGTCGGAAAACAACCTGTTCTGATGTTGTTTTTAAACTATCACTTTGGTATCACTTTGTAATCTACAACCTGTCATTCATCTGCAAAGCTTTTATTTTTGAAAATAATTTTATCTTAATTGAAAGTATACAAACACTTAAAATAACTACAAATTTGCACTAGTAGTTAAGCTTATCTTATGAATTCACAAAGACGAAAATGCCGGCACAATATTACATCGGGTCGGGTCGGGTCGGGTCGGGTCGGGTCAAAAATAATATTCATGTGGCGGGTGGCCTGGGCTCAATTGAGTTCTGCTTTAGCGGCTTGTTGAGGAATGATAGAACACTGAAGAGGTATGAACTACTTGAAAAACACTGCAAGAGTCGCTCAGGTATTGTAGAAGATCATCACAAGGAAAAGTAAATTCAATTGATTTTTGAATGACAAGTGCATTTGTATACGCCAACTTTAGTTCGAGATCCTACGCCAAAAGCTCGTAGTGACTGATATGCGTTGAATTGTATGTCATGGAGACAACAAAATAACACTGGAAAAGCCTCATTTAAATATCAACAAACAACGAGAAACTGTTAATAAGGTGTTTCTGACGATGTCTATGCCAACATTTTGTTGTTTTGAAAACTCGAGTGGAGTCCAACACTACGGCGGTCCAGACAGCGTTAGTAGTCAAATATGCTAATTGGCACGAAAAGTGCTCAACTTTGATTGCTGCTTGCGGGCTTGGATTTAGGTAAGTTACAAATTTTTTTGCGTCTTATAATAGTTCAATTCTTCCTTTTTCCTCCCATGTAAGTCTCCACTCTCAGTCAGGTGCCACTTTCGAGAAAATAATTTTTACAATTGTCATGTTTTGTTGGTTCTGCCAAAAGCCGGGAAAAACGTTTTACGTTTAAATCAACTTTCATATGATTCGAAATAGATWCGACAAAATGCTTCACAGTTATCAAAGACAAGATAATTTGCTAGGTCACTGGGAAATTTGGTTGGTTTTTATTTTAGTTTGAGGAAGTTATAGATCATCCAAGTTAGTGAATTTTTAGCCGCCTCAGACACCGTTGAAGGGCATTGACACCGACACATGGAGAAAATACGAAAATTCGTAAAATAAATATTTTTTCAAAATTCCAAATGCGTAATTGTAATAGGTATATAATAGGGAAATCACACACTCAATATCAGGATGATTGATTTTTCGACCCCAAGGTTGATAGGTGGTTTTTAGAGAGACGGCCTCTTAAATAAACATTCTGTACTTGTACTGCTCGTCGTAACAAACCTTGTGATTAAAGATGTTTTTTTCTGGTAGGTTTAGCTCCTCTACACAACAGCCATCGCTTCAATTGAGGGACAATACATTGATCTAAAGTTTCTGTGGGGATTTTGGCCCCAGGAATATSATTTTCAGTCAATATATTCTTTTTCAATTGTGAATCTGTTGAATCAGTATTCTTCATAGACGCCATATTTGTTTCTCTGCAGCCAAACAATCCCTGCATGCTTTGTGGTCGCGACTCATTACCAACCCCCCCTCTCGTTTTGCAATTGGCGAATTCATTGCCAATAGATATGARGATTTCTGTATCTGATAGGTTAACATCTCTAGCTACACCATGTATTTCCAGGTTATATTGCTGCAAGTCATCTAACCACCTTTCTTCTTTTCTCTTCTTTTCTGATGCTTTAAATGAGGATTGTACTTAATGAAACTGTTCGTACAGGTGTAAAGCTTTTCTCTCCATTTMTTGATGCTGGGAGGTTTCAAGCTCAAGAGAATCTTTTAATTTGTTATAATACGAGGCTGGTCTTCATTGTCAGCTAATAATTTAGTAGTATTAGCTGGTATTTCAATGAATATCCCCCATATTTCTTTTGGTGTTGTTACTTCAAGCTTATCAGCATGCTTGTCGACTTCATTAGAGGTTTTTAGGATGCCGTCCATCATATACAGTAAGATGGAGGAAAATGACGAACTAACATCAGTCGCTTTACATCTCCTTTTCTTCCAAGAGTTTGGAACATTGCCTTCACTAACAATTTTGAAAAGAGACCCACACATCAAGTTTGGGTCAGAACTGGACCTACGTATTCCCAAGTGGTCCAAGAGACTAACCCATTGCATGTTTATCATTTGATGAGAGCTGTTTTAATGTGAATGAACAATTTGATGATGTAATATTTACTGACGAGAGTTGCATCTGAACAGAAAATTGTTTCTCGAAAAATCGGTCAGCCTMTCAAGCTGAAACTGAAAGTGAAGCATCCATGAAAGTGTCACGGTATATCAAAAAAAGGGCCAACCAAGATCCTGCTGTTCACTGGAATAATGTTGAAATGACACTTTACTTCCCTTTGTCAATGTGCATTTTAAGAACAGCTTTCAACAGGACAACGATCCAAAGTATAAAAGTAGCCTAGCCATGAAATTTATTAATGTTCAAAGCATCCATTATTGGTTAACACCAGCGGAGAGCCCTGATCTAAATCCAATAGAAATGCTTTGCCATGAGCTTAAAACCATCTGAGGACAGTTGTTAAACCAACAAAGAAATAAGAATACCTCACGTACATGTAAGGTCTATTTTGTCTGTAGCTGAAAGTTAAAGTATGAACCATTCTCCTTTATAGGACTATGAAGGAACTCTTGTCCATTTCCTTTTTGTAGGTCATCTTCTTTATTTGCCATTTCCTGATTACTGGTTAAGTCTAATTTTTTTGCTTTCATAATAATAATAATAATAATAAATAATACCATTGGCAGTATATACCTGAATTACAGGTAATTGGTCGGTAATTATAAATAAATACATAGACAAATCAACAATATTTACGGCGAATTTGGTGGTCACAAATTGACCAAAACGATTAGTGTCGGTGAACTATTTCCCGCATGATCGCAGGTTGTAATGTTGAGAAGGTTTGATGACTTGACTAATAATATGAATTGTAGCTTTTAGAAGTTTACTTCAGACTCTCAGGAACGTACAAGCACGATTCGCAACATTTTCTTAACTTTATTGATGTACGGCCTAAGTTTTAAAGCTGCGAAGGACGGTTTCAGGGTTGACGACTTCCTTCAAGGACTCAGTGTCACGTACGTCAGCACGGTTAGATGTTGTCCTCACAGAAACACCATTACTACTGACTTTAAGGGGGCCGCTTACTGTCCAGCCATGACGTAACTTGAKGGCAAAAGGCCATCGGATGAGTTTGGTACAACTTCCAAAGGTGCTGGAGCGATAGGACAGTTGCTTCCTATTAGCAGGCCGACATCCACGTTTTGCATACTAGGGATCTTGTTGGCGATACTTCTAAGGTCCGGGATGCAGCTGACCACTTCAGACGTTGGTATCTGACTGTTCTCAACAGGTTTGTTCCTTCGTGTAAGACTTTGGCAGGA